TGCATGATGATCGGCCCAAAGTCGGCTTACCGGGATCCGGGGTTAATCGTCAAAACCACCTGTTTCCGCGTGCCTCCCATTAATGATTGCGACGCATCTACCGTTCTTGTCATCTTTTTGCATCCATGCCCTCAATCTTTAACTTTATTTTGTTTTTTGCCTTTTTTTTTAAGTGGGTTTATATTTATGTCTTGTTCATCTAAACCCTAATCCCAAATCTATTCAATTAAATCTTATGAATTTATTTACTATAAAAAAAGCAATTCACAATTACAAAGAAGAAAGTAAAAAAAATATATTTTTTTAATTCCATCAAGTTTTAATCATTTTTTTATTAAATTTTAGTTATTCTCTAAATAAAATAATTAAAATAAATTTAGTAGATAATGTTTTATAATTTTTACTATAACAGATAATTAATTCAAAACTAATATTATCAAACTTTTACAATTTTATATTTTTTTAAAAGTTTCAGTGTTTAATTAATTATTTATTGTTATGGAAGTTTAATTGCAGACTACTATAAAATCAAGATTAATATATATTTTTTTTAATTTAGTAATAATTTTTAAACATTTATGATCATATAATTGTTATTAAAAAAGAGTCATTTACTCTAATACGTTAGTTTATATTATTTTTTTACTCAATGTGTTTCACATATATTTTAGTATGCAATAATATTTACGAGTTAATCTTTAAGTACTAATATTAAATTCTTAAAAATAAATAATATTTATTCGGATTAAAATATTTATTGAATAAATTATTATCTAATAATTTTTTAAAAAATATATTTAAGTTAAATATAAATGTCCCAATACAACACCCAATACAAAAATTCATTTTTAAATATTTTAATTTAAATCCTACTAATAAAATTAAATATTTTAATTTAATACATTAATATAAAATGTATTAAAATATAAATCAATATAGAAAAGTTGGTAACTAAAAAATAAGACTAATAACATGTTTGATAAAAAAAGAAAAATTAGTGTCATTTACATTAGAACCAAACTTAGTTGATTACGGTACGGCATTAGTGCTTATCACGTTTTCGCAAATTGTTTTTATTGGAATAAAAAAAAATTCAAAACCCATCTCACAAGAACATTGTATACATACATACATACATATTGCAAATTGTTTTTATTGAAAAAAAATCAAAACCCATGTCACTAGAACATTGTATGCATACATATATATATATATATATATGAGGCTCGATGAATTTGGCTTTTGCAACTTTTTGACAAAGCTAAACCAAAGTTGAAATGAATTCAACTCTTAAAAAGGCATAACCCTATCGATTTAAGACTTCTTTTGACTTCTTTTATGGATTCATTTTTTAATAAAGTATTCAAACTTTATTCATACACGTGCATCTTGCATTTGGTTTAACCAAACTTTATGAATTTTCGAAGGTGTAAATAATAATGCAATATTAAAAAAAAACGAGGGTGTAAATGTAAGAAAAAGTATGGAATTGGGGTGATAATGAAAATAAGGTAAATATGAGGGGGGTGTTGTTTTAGGATTTACAGAAAAAGGCCAATAAGATTTTTTAATATTAATTCACTCGTTTTTCGCTCTTTCCCTTTCTGTTCTGTCTTTCAACTCTCTCTCTCTCTCTCTCTCTCTCTCCCTCCCTCTCTCTCTCTAAAGTTTCTAGCTTTTCTCTTCATGTGGCCCTAGCCTCTACTAGTGTTCACTGAAGCTTCCTTGTTGCTTCCTCTCTCTCTCTCTGTTTCTCTCTCTCTCTCTCTCTTTCTCTGTGTTTCTCTCATTCTGCAGTCGCTACTCTAAGGATGATCTGTTTCAGTTTCTTCTTCATGTGAAAAGTAAGTTATTGACTTCTTTTTTTTTTTTTTTTTTTCCTCTTTTCAGTTAATTATACTGCTTTAATTTTGTTTGTTTGTTTCTGGTATTCAGAATGCGGGCGTAATTGTTTGTCTCGTTCCGAGTGTTAACGGGGTTTTCGTGGGAATTTTAATGGGTTGATGTTTGAAGATGAAAAGTCTGATGTTTTTGTGCGTAAGGAAGTAGAGTTTCTGGGGTCTCTGTGGATAATCAATTTAGGGTTAGGTTGGTGTCGTTTTAGTTCTTTTTTGACTTTTAGTATATGTTCATACGAATTATTCTCCATCAAAAAAGTTTGTTCCTACGTGTTTTTCGCTCGATGCTTTTGGTTGATTGCAATTATTGGTGTGTGACTGCTGAGGAAAATAAGTTACAATGAACATGGAAGTTAGGAGGAATTTAACAGCAGGTGCCTTTTGGTACATGATTTTTACAGATGAACAGAATGGTAGATGACTCAGAATTTCAGTTGAGTTTTTTTTCTTAAAAAAAAAAATCCGGTTTACTTCAGTGGAGGCTTTACTTTTTTTTTTTTTCATTGGAAACAGGGTTTTAGTGATCTATCTCTTGTTGACTGATGTTTGAATTGTTTGATCTCAGTTTTATCAGATCAGGGGAACATTATTTCCTTGTTTTATTGATTTTTCCTTTGCGTTTTTTAGTTGTTGTTAAATAGATTTTTGGGGATAAAAAATGGTTGCCGATTCGTGGTTCCGTAGTTTGTGGAAATTTCCAAGGAAGCGCGAGGCAGGTTCTGAGAAGGCAGTTATTGGAGTATTAGCCTTTGAAGTTGCAAGCTTGATGTCAAAGCTGGTTCATCTATGGCAGTCTCTAAGCGATAAACAGGTTATTAGGCTGCGAGAAGAGATCACAAATTCTGTAGGTATCAAAAAGCTTGTCTCTGAAGATGAGGATTTTATTGTCTGTTTGATCTGTTCTGAAATGACGGAGAATATGGAGCATGTTGCGAAATCAGTGGCTAGGCTTGCAAAGAAATGCAGTGATCCAGCTTTGAAGAGCTTTGAGAATGCTTTTGACGAATTGATGAAGACTTGTGCTGATCCATGTGGATGGCAGTTTACATGGAAGAAGATGGAAAGGAAAGTTAAAAAAATGGAGCGCTTCATTTCAGCTAATGCAACGTTGTATCAGGAGATGGAAATACTTGCTGATCTTGAACAGAGTTTTAGGAGACTGAAGGCTGGTGGAGATGCAGAGCCAGAGAATTTGCTTGAGTTTCAGAAGAAGGTTGGATGGAAGAAACATGAAGTAAAGAATCTGCAGGAGATCTCTCTATGGAATCGGACTTATGATTATACCATCCATCTTTTGGCAAGATCTCTGTTCACGATATTTTATAGGATTAAGCATGTGTTTGGAATTAGTCAGGTATCTGATGCCGATGATTCCAAAGGAATGAATTCTGACTTTATTCATCGCAGCCACTCAGTTTCTGGGTTAATGCATTCTTCAGTTCATCCATCCGAGACGAGTCTTCCTAGGTTCTCTTCAGGGCCCCTTGGGAGGTTTATTACTAAATCAGGTCCTGTTCCAAAAGCAACCAACTTGAGTAATTTCTATTCAGGCCCTCTTGTCGGCTCAACCCCTAAATTGGGCCTTATTTCAAGACAGAAGAAAAAATTCAACTTCTATTCAGGTCCTCTGGGGAAGTCAACAACAAAGTCAGGCCCTATTTTTGGAACAGATAAAACTAGCAAGATGTGGCAGACTCGAGAGAGCTCAAACATTGTTAGTGGGAAGAAATCCCTTGTAAAGCTGAACCGGTTGACTCAAGTAGGTCCTTTCAAAGGAGGCTCAAATGCTTCAAACGGGCGTGCTGTCACCAACAACTACTCAGGTTTCAGTGGCATTCGTTCAGAAATTTTTAATGGTGCCAGATATAGTAATGTGGAGCAAATTCCCTCTGGCAATGGTAGGTGTAAGTTGTTAGATGCTCCCGCAGACACCCTTGGTGCTGCTGCTTTAGCACTGCACTATGCAAATGTTATTATTGTAATTGAGAAGCTAGCGGCATCTCCTCACTTGATTGGTCATGATGCAAGAGATGACCTATACAATATGCTACCTGCAAGCGTGAGGGCTGGTCTGAGGGAAAGACTAAAGCCGTATACCAAGGAATTGGCTTCTTCTGTTTATGACACAGAACTTGCAGGAGAGTGGACTGAGGCAATGACAGCAATTCTTGAATGGTTGGCGCCACTAGCTCATAACATGATAAGATGGCAGTCAGAGCGGAGTTATGAGCAGCAGAGCTTTGTTTCAAGGACAAATGTGCTCCTGGTACAGACTCTCTATTTTGCAAATCAAGAGAAGACAGAAGCAACAATAACTGAGCTTCTTGTTGGTCTTAATTACATCTGGAGATTCGGTAGGGAACTAAATGCAAAAGCTTTGCATGAGTGTGCCAGCAGCAGAATTTTTGACGAATGTTTGGAGCTGGAAAAGTAATCTTATCTTCATCTTATGGCTAGTGCCATCAGAGAGCCTCACTTATCTCACACTGAGTGGGTTCAGGTTGGCTGTGGCAAGATTTCATCACCTGGCTAGTTTATGATTGCCCTCTGGATCCTATTTGGTGATATTGATTGATTGCGAATATTGAACAGAGGACAACCCTTATACACGGCTGCAGAATGAGATTCTTAATCAAACAAGCTATAGTTTGAGCTCCCAAACACACCATTTTTTTGTTCAGTGCTAATGATCTTTTCCTTGGTGCTGCAAATGGGTTTTGGTATATTCCCTTCATTATAATGCCTTCTTACAGTTTGTAACTAAGCTACCAATTCCATTAAATGTTTATACTGGATTAGTAATACCCCTGCCTAATTTATGTATATTTGCATACCTGGCTTTTACTTAAATATAGAGCTGTCTGGGCCTTGGGCTGCCTTTATTAATGCATCGATCTTGAGTTTCTCGGTACGTGAGAACGATGTAAGTCAGCGGAAAAGAAAGGATTCAACTAAATTTATACCTAGTGGCTGTTTATTTTGAACACGGCATGATATTTGCTTCTTGTCTTGATGAACATATTTCGTTTGTCGTTATTCACGACCATCACCAAGCACAGCCGTTCGTATGTGAGAATTGACAAAGTTCATCTCTTCCTTCCCCTTAAGAAAGTCCTGAAATGTCATTCTTTAGTACTGTGTTTCAGCTTGCTGTCTTGGGTTGGCCTGTAAATAGGTTTTGACATGGAAATTGTAGGTAAGAAGCATCTGCTTACTCCAATTGAGTTGGTTACTGCTTTCCATCATTACATGACCAAACCCACTATGTGGGGCAAGTAACTAACCGAACCTTTTTTATCCTTCAAAGAAATTTTTTGTACTTTTTGAAAATAGATATAAAGTATACTCAGTAGTGTGATCACAAAAATTATATGGCTTGTTTCATTTTCTTTATGGGTTAGGTTGAGTTCTTTTCGCCTGTTATGGTACCCCGTCTATAGAAATTTAGTTGTCAAAAAATATTTTTTTAGTCGCTTCTTAGCATGTCGTGGCAAAATTTTTGGATTAATCATAGTTATTTCATAATACATCTATGATGTAGGAGTTATATATTTTCATTGAGGTTCAAATTCATGAATTTAAAATATGACACAGATAATCTTAACTGCTAAATCACTACACTGATAGTTCTTTTTTTGCTAAGTTTAATATTTTAGTTTTTAAACTCATTTAGACTGTATCAGTCTCAACGCTGATTTTTCTATTTAGTTGATTTTCTTATTTAACACCGTGTATCTCTTTTTTCTATTTTAACCTTATAATTTCAAATTTTTATTAAATCCACCTGCAATACTGATTACTATTTATGAACTGTTAAATTTAGTATACGTAGACGATAACATGTCAAAATTAGAACTCAGTGAATTATGAAGTGACACATGATGTAATAATAACGTCAGATTAAAAATATCAAAATTCTATTTAGATCCTCGAAAACTTTTTGTAATTAAAAAAATTATATAGTTTGTTTCATTTTCTTTATAGTTTATATCACAATTTAATCTTTTTTTTTGTCATATTTTTTCAATTAGAAATAAGGTTAGATCATATTTTTTAAATTTATTATAGTACCACAATAAAAGAAACTTAATTACCATAAAATGTTCATTTAGTCAGCTTTCGGACCCCCTGAACGAACCATTATGAACTGATCATATGTAACTCATTATACACCCAAAAAAGAACAAATTTTACGTTTTTAGTGAGATTCTAATTTACGAACTTTAAATATAACACAATGATCTTAATTGCTAAATCATCATGTTGATGACTTCTTTTTTGTTGGATTTAATATCTTAGTTCATAAACTTGTCTAAATGACAATAATACTCTATCAACCTTTGTAGTAGTTGATTTTTTCTATATAGGTTCTTATATTGTTTTATTTGTCTATTTTGACCTTGCATTTTCAATTTTTACTCAAATCTATCATCATCACTAACTATCGTTCATGAGCTATTAAATCCATAACACATGGTTAATTACATGTCAAAATTTGACATGTAAGCAATGAAGTGGCACACGACATGACAACCATGTTAAATTAAAAATCTCAAGATTTCGTATGAGTTTTTTAAATGCTCTTCACATAATTGAAGAGGGGGATAGATGTAAAAAATAAACTTTTAAAGAATCAGACAAAATTTTGAGATTTTTAATTTAACGTGTCTACCATGTCATGTGTCACATTGTCGTTTATATATTACAATTTTGACACATCATTAGTCACGTATCTTGAATTTAATGACTTCAAACTTTAATTATTACTGATAGTAGATTCAGTAAAAATTTAAAAATATGTGACTAAAATAGACAAAAAAAAAAAAAAGAACTTAGATGAAAAAAATCAACCAGTAGAAACTTGTAGGATATTTATAACTTATCTAAATTATAAAAAAAATACAAAATAGATTTTGACATCTTATCTTTGTATTGGTTTTTTTTTTTTTATTTTGCTCATTTTTCGGTTGTAAAAAGTTAAATTAAGTTTTTAACTTGTTGTAACTAACCCAACTAAAAAAAATCTAACAACTGCAGAATATTCTTTTTATTCAGAACCACGATAAATTTGTTAAGGTATAGTTCAACTTAATTATTACAATTATATTGATGCATTAATAAACTAAGTTATTAATTCTATTGAATCATATTTTATACGCTGGTCATTGTCGACTCATAATACATTCATAAAATAATAAATTTTATACTTTCAATAAAGTTCAAGCTCGTGACATTTAAGTAAAATACAAGTGTATGAAATATTAATCGACGTATTGTTAATTTTTTTTTTATTGACTAACTAAAAACAAACGCGTGCACGTGCAAAGATAATTAAAGAAAAAAAAATTAAAATATTAAACAGAACCCTAAAAAGAATTATAATTACTTATGATAAAACCCTAATTGCTTAATCCACATTTATTTTAATCAATTCTTAGTGGTATTTATTGATACAAAATCATATCTCGTTCTAAAAGAGTAAAGAAAGTTATTACTAATTGTTAAAATAGAATTATAAATTATTATTGTCATATATGTTATCTCTTTTAATATAATCTGATTTGATTATTTTTATAAATTTTATATTTTATCAATCTCTTCGCATTATAAATATGTTATATATTACGAATTTTTTTTTTAAAATTTTTTTAAGTTAAATTTTGACTAAAAAAATAAATATTAATAAATTAAAATACGTATCGATTAACATATTTTATAAATATAATTAAATTATTATTAAAAGATTATAAAATTAAAATTTAGAGTCAATCGGTAAAGAATAATTGATAATTACTTCAAAATTTAAAATATATTTAGTAAATTCCATGAATGACGAAGTCAAATAATTCATAAATCATTAGCAAGAAAATATGATTTATTTTTCTAACTATTCACAAACTTTTATAAATTATGTTTCAAAATGATTACAAGTCAACTAATAAAGTTAATGAATTTATTTCTTTAATTCAATAATAAATTTCAATCATATACACCAATCCCATGTATATAGTGTATATAATATATATATATATATGTTTTGAATAATGTTAAGAATTAAATATGTAAAATGTGAACTAATTAATTTTTTTTTAATTTTAACATAAAATATTTTTTATAAAATTAAAATTTTAATAAGTTATTTGATGAAAAAATATATATATGTATATAAATATGAAAAATAATCTAAGAGCTTTTTTTTTTTTGAATTTTATTTAAAGAAAAGAATATTATTATTTACTTAAAAGAGGAAAAGAAATCATTACACCAGTCTAGTATACGTATCGAATGAAAAGAAATCCATATTATATAATTATAAATTAGTCAATGATATTTCCATGATTAAAAAAATTAAAAAAAAAATCATTTCCTCAATTATTAATTTTAATTTTAATTTTATTTTTGATTTTTGATTTCGTCTGTAAAATTCGGGATACTTTTTGCGGTTGGTAGTAGTATTGAAATCTGAGATTTTGACGTGGATGATTGAACGCGTAGGTGGGTGGGTAGCTCAGGTTGTGTTTGATGTCGTCAGGCGGGTGAAACCGCCTTCTCCCTCGTCGCTACCTTTCTCTCTCTCTCTCTCTCTCTCTCTCTCTCTCTCGCTCGATCGAGACTCTAACTCTGAAAACCCTCCCGAATTTTCAACTGTTTCTTGAAAATAGCCAGCCATGGCAGCGGCGAAGCCGCGGTCTGCTCGATCGACGTCTCTCAGGATTCTTCCGAGTCCGAGAAGTTGGAAGGCACCGGCAGCTGGGACGCTCTTGAATGGACCAAAATTGAGGTTTCTTTGTTTATCTTTCTATCCATCTGATGAATTGTAGGGTTTTCTGTCTTTCTTTGTATAGCATAAGGTTGTCTGCATGCATTGGCGTGTTGTCTGGTGCGTTTGAATTGAATTGTGCTCTTCTTATTCTTCTGTTATTAATGGTGGCAGCCGGTTTCGCGGTCGGTTACTCATGTGAACTTGGATTGTTTGCTGGAAGCGGAGGTGGTCATAGTTGAGGTACGGTTTCGAGTTGTTGGATTCTTGTTTTCTGAGTGATTTTCTTGTTTTGTATGTATTCGCATACTGACTGAGTTCTTGCATTGTTCGTGGAACCTAAAATGTTCTTTAATGAAGGATTTTGAATTAGAACATGTGTTTTACTGTAATTTGTGGCTCGAAGGGCAAACTGTTCATGACTCGATTTTTAACTTCATTTTCGTTGTTGTTTTGATTGACGTATGTTAATGAATATTTAGAAGTGAGTTTATGCGTTGAATTCTGAATGAGCTTTACTCGGGACGCTGGGAAATGACTGAATAGCTCATGCTGCAAGGTAGTAGAAGTTATTGGTATCGGTTTCTGTCCTACTTAGGGATTTCAGGCCAACGATAGGTGTTTGATTATGGGACAATTATATATTATTCTTTGCCAATGAATGCAGTTCAAACATTCAGTAATCTTTAGTTGGATTTCAATTGATGAGGGACTGTTTTCCGATAACAAGGGATGAACAGTGAGATGGGGTAGTCAATGGGGATAAGGAATAGCAACAAGAATACAAATAACTCAAAAAAGTAGCACGATAAACTCCTGGTTCAAAGACCAAATATAGAGAAAATTCTCTAGATGAAGTTAAATAGTACAAATCAACATAAGAAGATATTATATCGATATATATATATATATAGGTTTCTACTAATTCTACTCATACTTAGAATTTTACCTGTAGGATTAATCCTAGAAGGAAGTTGACCTAATTAGGAAAACTTAAACTATAACGAGATATAAAAATCATTGGAAAACATAAAAGCAAGGATCTGATATTTAACTACTCAGAACAATGTAAATAAAAATCATACCAAATAAATTAGGGAGACAGGATTGTTAAGAGGACGACAACCAAGTCAAACTAATCGTTGGAGAGATCAGTGTTTCCATGATAGAATGCAGAAAGCAAATTCTCCGGATAAATCCGGATAATATGATAAAACTTAGGTTGTCAATACCATATTGACAAGCACTTCAATTTTCTTTCTTGAACAGTTCAATTGTGACAGATGTATTCTAGTGTTTTATTTCGTGGTTGCTGCTCTTTTTTGACTCGTATGTATTAACAAAAATCTTTAATGAAAATATGTGGTAAAAGCTAAACGATTTAACTTTTCTTAGCATTTTAAATGTTAATTAGCTTAAGTTTGAAAATTATTAATTGTGCTTTTTTAAGACTACTTATTGTATTCAGAAGGCACCAAGGCGTCCCACCTATATACAAAAGCAATTCACACAAAATTATTTGTCAAAATATCTAAGGGTTCCCAAATATCTTTCTCCATCAACTGAGAGGATGTTGCTTAAACAGAATCCAAAAGGCACCAAGGGGTTGGGACCAGTGCACAAAAGCCAGTTACGCATTTATATAAGGTCCCCAAGATATTCTCCATCAATGGGACATGATCCTTTTCTTCAAATAATGAGGACATGATCCTTATAAACAAAATACAAAAGTTACTGTTGATTCTACCAGAAGGAGAGAACACTACAAACAAACCTTCCATTTCCTTTCTTTCTAAACCGAAGGATAGTCAATGGGGTGAGGGAGACTACTTCCTTTCTTTCTTGCCGCTCCAAGGTCAATGCTGAAAGCTCTTTCATTATCAACTGACAATTGTTCAACTGGTGTTGAAGAGGATAAGGGTTGAATTTCACAGCCTTTGGACACCAAAAGATAAATGGAAACAGAACTCATTCTCATGAAAGAGCACCATTTAACCAAAATACTGCCCTTCATCAAATTTTATCTACAGAGAGTTAACCCCAAACAAAAGTAAAGTCATGGTGAAGCTTTTTTTTCAACAGTTGTTCCCAAAAAGAATCTATCATCAACTTGGTTTTGGGAGCAACTGTCGTGAGAGATCATACCCGATATATTACTGTAAAAAAAAAAAGGAAAACAAAGAGGGAGCAACTTGACAGAAAAAAAAGGAAAAAAATCAAATGAAAGTAGACTTGAATAATGGATAAAGAAAAACTTGATCAGGTAAATGGAGTCATTTAGGAACTTCTTTTCAAACAAAGACCTAATTTGTTATGTTATTGGTTATTCCATCTTGGATTGCCCAACTCACTTTGAGAAGCCCAATTTGGCCATTTGCCCTTTATATTGGCAGCGATCAGATACCATACTTTGGTAGTGCAATCAAGATGGATCAAAATCATTGAATTTTTCAATATTACCCTTTTTTTATAAGAAAAGAAGATTTTACTAGACAGAGAGAGAGTAAAAAGGAGGAGGATAAGATATTAGCCATTTCTTAGTCTGTTATGCAAATATGGGTTTACTCATATATGTATGTTTCAAAAAAATGTATATGTATTTTTTATTTCAAAAAAAAATATTTCGAAAAAATACATATATACTTTCATATATATATATATATATATATATTCAAAATAGAGATATATGCTGACATATATACTCTCATATATATTTTTACAAAATATATATGCTTACATAATTACGTACTATATTAAAACATAAGATATTATGTTTTTTCTTGTAAGATATTCCTAGTGCTGTTATGGTATTAACTACTTCGCTTTGATCACTGAGGTTAATTCTGAAAGGAAATCTAACTGATACAGAAACCCAACTTAAAAAGAAAATCGAGGTAACGATCAATATGAAACCATGATAGGAAAAGATCCGGATGCTATTGTCTGTTGGCATCTTTTGTTCTTGTTTCTGCTATTCTTTTTCATCTATCTTTTCTTTTGGAGGATAGCTTATCCTTGTTCTCTTCTAGTAAATTTCTTCTTTTATGAGAAAGTATAAAATATTAGGAAAACCTGTAAGATTAAATATTCCTAATTTTTTTTTTGGATACTTATATTTCCTTCCTCAATAAGGATGGGTTCTTAGGGTTTCTTTTTTCTTGATTTTCCATTTTTGTGAACTCAGTTTTTAGAGAGTATTGGGAATTTGTGGTTTATTAGACATATATTAAATCGCACTTTTGTTTAATTTTTGTTTTACACTTTGCATATATATATATATACATGAAATTTTTGGTGCCTTTTGTAATGAGTTTACTTGGTGGACTAACTGTGAGTTTTTGGGACTGTGAGAGGTTGTATACTATACTTTCCAGAAACTTTCTTTTTTCTTTTTGAGATAATACAATACTTTCCAGAATAACATGTGTTTTCAGTTCTATAATGTTCATATAATTGTTGCTCAGAAATTTATGATTTGCAATGAGAATAATGTAAGATTTATTTGCATTTTTCGTTCTCAACTTTATTACATAAATATGATCAAGGTTGAGCAATTTCAGTTTCCTTCCCGTTAACTTTTTTGGTAACTTGAACATACTGGAATTCCTATTTATATGCTCAGGACAAAAAAGAGTTTTTCCTTTTAAGCAATTACTTTTCTTCCCATTGGAAATGGAAACTTTGGATAACAGTTCAAATGGCAACCTACTTTCCTTATATTTTTATATTTAATATGCTGGGGTTTCTCTTTCAGGGATATGGTGTTGTTCTTGTTAATACGGATGAGGCTGGAACCTTGTTAGTTACTAACTTTCGTCTTCTCTTTCTGGTAAGCATTGTTATTCTCCTCCCCGGGTGCATAATTTTTCCGTTGTTTTTAAAGTTATTGCAAGTTAGTTTATATTGTATCCTCAGGGGTATTGCTATCATATTTCACCATATCATTTTGCTATAATGTGACTGCTTAATATGAGCATGCTATTGGTAACTGTATCATTGTTCGGAGTTGTTTGGCTTTTTGAGGCTCAAACTTATACACAGGTTCTTGAGAAAGTAATTCCATTCTCTCTTCTTTTCTTTCATGTGGCAACACACTGGTCTCAACAATTCTATGTTTGAAATTGGAATTTGAAATGCAAATTCAACAAATAAATGTTGGAATCTGGGCTGCAAAATTCAAATTAAAACATTGGAGTCCTGCAGAATTTAGGAACTGGATCTAGTATGGGGGATTGGGATGGCCTTCTATCTTGTTGTTTTCCCTTTATTATCTGTTCTGTAATGTTGTTTTCTCTTCCTAGGAAAATACCTTGTTCCCTCTCTTTGTGTTCTGTTCTTCACGTAACGAAATACTCTTCTTCCTCTTCTAAAAAAATCAGAAACTGGAGCTCACAGAATTGACGTGTATTTAATATGATTTCCACCCACGCCCCTTGTTTGGGCAGTGCTATAAGATGTTATTGATGA